TTCTTCTATGCACACACTTCCAAATCTTTTCTTTGCTTTATGACAGTAGTTATTTGTGTCACTGACATCAACTCAAGCTGGCCCCAGAGTACCAAAACCAGAATAATTTTTCTTATAAGACTTCTTACCTTCACCAGGCTGGAATACAGAGCACTACATCACAATGTCAATAATTAACCTTGACCAGGTAATATCCTTAGGCCAGTTAGGCTGTGACATTATTGTTATAATGGTTTGGAAGTTACTGACATAACCTGAAGAGCTCACACAACAAAAGAGCTGTGGGCCTTAAGAGGTTTTTAATATATATATATATTTTTTGTTTGTTTGTTTGGTTTGATTTTTGGCCAGCTATACTAGCTGGGCTAGAGAAAGATACCATGTCTTGCTTAAAATCTTGGCTATTTGACAGCTGGTTTTTAATGCAAGAACAGTGCTATCCATGATTACCTTCTAGTGAATTTGTGCTATTTTTTTGAATAGCTATGATTGTTGCCAGTCTTTCATCCAAGGTTTATATGAGAGAACTGCTCTTTGTTACACTCATTTAAAACCAAAAACAACAACAAAAAAGGAAGTTTTGAAAGGTAACGCTAACTGAAGTTTATAATTAGGCTGGTCCAAAAGTTACTTAGAAGATATGTTTTGTGTGGACTAGAACCACTAGGGAACATGCACAGAAGTTAATAAACTTACAAATAATCTACTTGAAAGCATGTCTAGTTAGGTTCAGTGCTGTCTGTTAAAATTCTCTTTATTTTCCCTCAAAGTTTTCTCCTTGCAATAAATATTTTTGCAAAAGTTGAATTCTATTTGCTTGCATCTAGCAGGCAGAAAAGGGAAATAAAAAAGAAGCAGTAAGAATGCTAATTCGGGTTGTATTTTGGAAATAACTTAAGCTATTGACCTGCAGTTTGGAAAAAGTTTGAGAGAAGTGCATTTCTGTGTTTCTGAGCTTGAAATGGGGTTAAAAATTAGTTTAATATTAAATCTTCAATTTTGCTCCACATTTTCTATGTGACCTTGGAAAGCTGCTTCAGGATATAGAAGGTGAATGGGCAATGAGTCTTGATTTACACCAGTATCAGAAAGACCAGCCTTAACTTTACTAAATGACATCTGATAGGAGAATCCAGCTGAGGTCCTTGACCTCTCTGCAAAATGATCCTGATCTTGTAAAGCAACTGTGAGTTTTTTTTGTTTTTGTTTTTTTTTGTTTTGTTTTTTAAAAGTAGCTAAAGAAAACTGTTAATTTCTTTGAAAAAATTGGGAGAATCTACCTATAAGAAGTATTACTTACTTGCTATAAGTATAAAACATGGGAACACAGGATGCTTTTTTGGTACCAGATCAGTCAGATGATGCTCAAGGAACAAGTCAGCCAGAAATATCATCACACTCCAGTAAATAACAACTAACACTGCAAAATAAATACCCATAAATAAATATGCATACCTACAGCTGTAAGGTGCTGCAAGGTCCATGAAGCATTCAAAAGTGGCTAGTTAGGTGATGTACCTTGAATATTAATTACTACACCATTACTAATAATGGTGTAATATACTCACTTTTTATTTATTATTTTATCTATTACTCTGTAATAATGGTGTAATATACTCACTTCTAGGCTGAGTTCACCATCTTGGACACTACTCATTAATAGTTGATTAGAAAACTCACTGATCTCAGTTTGCTCATATATCTTTTTTTTTTTTTTTTTTTTTTTTTTTTTCTGATTCGAGGTCATCCTATTTTTATTTTTTTTACTCAGGCCATTAAGATTATACCAATATAAGTATCTTTTCAAATTCTTCTGGTCATGTCATCCTTGTATTATGTGTTTGGACAATATCAATAAGTGAAGCAATAATAATAATGTTTGATGTAGAGAGGTATTTCTGTCTGGAACTGTCTAAAAGTTTGTGGATAGCCTCTGACATTTCAAAGAGCTATTCTTTTATGTTAGTGAGAGAACATGCTCTACTGCACTGTAGAGGGTATTGCGCCCTTTCTGTTCATCATCCAGAAAGTCTATTTTTTCTATTTAATTCAACCACACTGAAATTCTAGGAAGGTTTGAAAGGAATTATTTGGGGGCATTTTTCACCCCCCATTTATCCTCATAATCTTTGTGGCATTTGTTTCAAAAGTAAGTACCTACTGATTTCCTGGGAGTTTGAAAGGATTAACAGTCAGGTGAAAAGAAGTTTGGCAGAAGTTACCTTTCTGTCTCTACTGCAATGTTTGTGTGCTTGGCTATTTTGTATCCAGTGCTTACCTTCATGGCTACTCTTTTCAATCATTAGGAAGGAAAAATAATATAACAGATTTCTCTTAATAACAGAACAGGAACATATATCAAGTTCTTTAATTTTTGAGTGTCATTGTCAATAATGAGAAATATATTTCAAGATAACAAAATTTTTTTCAGAGTTAAGAAAAAAAAAGGCAATTAAAAGCATAGGCTGATTCTTAATATTTTGAGCTGATTCCTTTCTCTCCATATGAATAAGGATTAAAAATGCAAACAAGAACTATGGAAGTTGGCCATTAGCAACAACAACAGCAGCTGCTTCAACGCAAGTGAATTCTTCAGGCCAAGTCAATGGAGCATGACTTTCTCTGTTTGAGTATATTTATGAAAGGAAAGTTTCTTCAAAGCTAAACAAAAAAAGGAAGAAGGTCTTGAAATTAACTTGAGCAAGCTGTGAAACTAGAGGGTGAGAGCCAAGATTTAAAACATCATGTATCCAAGGAAAAATGTAATTTGGGGAGTTCTGCCATCTGGGGTGAAATCCTTCAGCTGCTTTCTTATTGACCCTCATCAGGAACTGGAGTGACGGATAGATCCATCACCTGCTGGTTACAGGCTCAGCTGTAGTGGTGGAACACTGACCTCACACACCAGTGAGTGCCATCCAGGCAATCACAGGCAAATATGTAAGAGCTGCTTTTGAATAAAGTGGCTCACCAGATTTAATGTGTTCATTTATGCAGGCTATAAGGCACGTGACACTCTGCATCTTATCAAAGCAAATACAAGAACTGGAAGAAAAAAAAAGAAAGGCCCAAAGCATTCAAGATATCAAAGTGTGAAGGGGAGAGCTGATAAAGGGCATGACTGCAGTTACACAGTTCTGATTCAACTGAAAACAGTCTTTTCCCTCATCCTCCTATGTCACTATATAACTTAATTTCCTTTACAACTCCTTTAACACCTCCTTCCTTTGACCACAGCAGCAGACCTATTAATTCTGATTCTCCCAGCCTAGAACAGCTTTCAGCTGAGGGGATTTCCTCAACGTGACATGATTTTCTGTTTAGGAATACTTTATAGATCTCTCTTCCACACTTCTCTAGTTCTCTTGTTTTGGCAAAGAGTTCCACAGATCTGTTGCCTCCAACTCAAAGAAATTTGTTTATTTTGAATGAATTGTTTTTGTTTCAGTTGAAATTAAATCTAATTCTGTTTATGTATTCAAAAGCTCTTGACTATACCTAAGTTCTGCTATGTGGCTTTCCTAATGCAGGATTCCACAGATCAACTTTCAAAAGTTGCTCGTTGTATTTGGAACCTAAAACAAATCATTTTGCAGTGGAATTAAATACTTATATCTCTTTAGATCCAAACAGCACAGCTTAACAAGTTAGCTGAGCCTCAAAGTATAGTTATGGAAAAGCTGCGTAGCAGAACACTCATTCCTTTTCTCATCTGCATTCACAACAGGGCATACCAACACAGTTCTCTTGAAGACATGTGCATCTCAGTTTGTATTCATTGTCTATATTCCTTTTGTTTCAGTTACTGGCTGCATGTAAGAGAATGCACAGAGCTAGTGCCTAGGCTTCTCAGCCTAGGGATTCACTGCATTTTGGATCCCTTATTAATAGGTGAAATTAAAATAACTCTTCTTGGACTATGACCTGGGATTAAGGAGAGACCTGGGAACGGCTAAGTTTGGCCTTGGCCATAGTTAATGCTGGCAGGGCTGGGGTAAGAAGCAGGTGGAAACTGCTGCTCAGAGTTCAGCACCACATACATGGAAGCAAGTGCAGTAGCAAAAGCTTTCAGACTGTCTGTGGTGAGAGGACATATTTCTTGCTTGAATAAACCATTCCTTACATGTGTACTGGAGGTGGAGCTACAAACAGCCTTTCATGAATATACTTCCTTCTCCTCACTACATGTAGTTTGCTGCCCTTTATATCTGTCTGCTTAGCCTGCAGCCACTCCCTTTCTCTCTATGGTGTTATGGAGGAGGGTCATACTGAAAAAATTCCTCTCTTCAGTACTAATAAAAACCTTAAATACTTAGTTAATAAATTGAACTAATGTGGAGTGTCAGGACGGTAAAATGCATGTGGAATTCCTGAATGAAAACTTTCTTCCTCTCACAGCCAGTGAGGAGAGCAACTGCGCAGATGGATGATCAGTTCTTACAACTTAAAAATTATGTGGTTTAATACAGAACAGCTTGAAGCAGCTTGAAGAATCTTTTATCTGATACATAGCAATTTGAAGAAAGATCACTTTACCTAAATTATTTGCTCCTCAAACCCAAGAAGAACCTCCAGCCCAGTTGTGAAAAGAGGGTGAAATTTGTCCAGTATATCCATACTCCTTAAAACCATCAAGACATTGTTTAATTTAATATGGTGCTATCTTTCACACTGTGAAACTCTGGAGGGGTTATTAAGTACTCTTAAAAAAAAAGGGGGGTGGTGGAGGGCTATAAAGAAAGAAGAGCTCAGGCTTTGATCCTGCTTGCTTCCATTGGATTTCATAGCAAAAAATCTTGGTCTGTTCTCCATGATGAAAACTCATTAGTTTCTCTACCAACATCACCATCCTTCTTATTAGATTTACAGACTGTTGGAATTTTGGGAATCCTCTAAAAAAAATGTAACATTTCCAGCTTAGAAATGGGTGACTGCTGGAAAAGACTCATCATTAAGACACAGTTACACACTGAGAAACATCTGTCTATGACGAACCGTAATTATATCACTAATTACTCTGATGTCAGCTGAGACCAGGGAACATTGCAGGGATAAAACTGCTTTCACACCAGGCAGTCTACTAGCAGTGGTGTGCTCTGTGCCAATGGAAATGAAGAGGTAAAAAGGAAAATAAAGACATCTCGAAGTGACATACTGGCATCACTGGTCTCCTAATCTTTCCTAATAATTTCTCCACTTTGAATTAATTGACTTTGAATATGCTTTTCGTTCTTGTTTACCAGCTTTATAATTACTTTATTAACATTTATCAATATTGATGTTAATTAATTATTGATATTTATTAATTTAGCATGTATATTCTCAGTGGAAAATTACAGTAGGTCAACATTCCACTTGAACATATATAAAAAAAACCAACACTGTGAATGGAATAGCAAGCCCAAAGAAGTGCATGTTGGAAAGCAACTGCTTAGAAGGTATATAGCACAAAATCATGAAATGCATTAATTGTTCATTTGTTACAGAATTCACTCACATAGCAATTCCTTTGATTGAATTTTGACTTCGGTGGGGTTCCCATAGTAATCCCAATGGTTTTCCTGTAGTAATCCAATACTGTTCAAATTTCTAATATTGCAATGAGCTATTAATGAACAATTTACTAATTATTGTTTCCTCTGCAAAATTGTACACGTTTTTGAGGGAAAAAAAAAAAAAAAGCTGTTTATGAGTTATAAATAATTCTCCCAATTGTGTTTTAGAGGCTCTAAGACATGAGCCATATTGGTAATTGCTCTTTTTTCTTTCACATTTTCTTGTGCTTCAGTTATATAAAGCCTTCAGTTCCATTCCTTAAATTCTTGAGTCATGCCTCTATTACCCCATACCAGCTCCAGACACTGACAGTGACTGTGTATGAATTTAGTGCTCTCTGAGAGGCTTTTCCCTGACAGCCTGGAAAAACAAACTCCTTTTTATACATATGGCTAAGCATGGAATGGAAGTGATACTACAAGCTCTCTGAACAGTCCAGCAATAGGTGAGAAGGTACATCCTTAATTTACAGTGCCTTTTCCTAAATATCTTTGATGACTCTTCCAAGGTGTATAATTTTTATAAGTTTTGTTATGGTCATTGGGAGGTAATCAACATTAACTGTTATTTCAGTCCTAAATGGTTTTTATTCTCCATCAGTATGGGCTGAAGTGTATCCACGAGCTTCATTTTGTTTTACCCACTGGTGGTAAATGTTGTAGGTAAAGCAGATGCTTTATAGATTTGATTCTGTGAGAAGTGAATCAGTGTAGCCCATTTTCAACAAATTACTTCAGCATACAAAACGTTGTTGTGCTTACGCACATGGTAACTGGAAAGACTGAAATCCTCATCCAAATAATCTTCCTATTTATTCCCTTCTGTAGTCAACCTTTTAAGTATGATAAAAGATTCAATGTAACCTCAAGGTATATGCACAGATATCCTCTTTCTCCTTCTCCCTAGTGACTTAATTTATTTGTTAAATTATAGTAAACTGCAAACCATAGAGAGCTCTCTGTGCAATGAGAAGGGGGTGAACAAAGCCAGGAGACCCTTCAAGATAGCCTCAAGAAACCTGTGATGATATATTTGAGCAACAGATAGGACTTGTCTAGATGGAGCTTCGATCTTTGAAGTTGTGACCCCATGACATTCCTATGCCTCTCAACCACATGTTTCTTCTTTTAAATCCTGGCATGTTTCCTGTCAAAACCTTTCTCCTCTCATACTCTCTTCCCTAAAACAAAACCCCACAATTGATTTTGCATAACCACCTAGAGAGCAATCAATAGTTCCTGAAATTTAATGCAGCACTTTGTTAAGCTTGCAAATGGAATAATGATTCTGTGGGGCCAAATGCTGGGCCCAGAGCTGCTTTGCCCCTTTCAGAAATGGGCAGAGAAGGTTTCCCTTGCATGTTAATGTGTTGTGTTGCAACAGGGGTCAATAGCTTCAGGCTTTATGTTGATTAGTATTTAAAGGAATGTTGTTGGAAAGTATTAGTAGAGGCATTTTAACCCTACAGACAATTGAGGAAACTAAAACACCTATTTGCTGGACAGCTTTCTCTATAAATACGCTAATGCCAGTAAGAAGCACATTATTCCTGGTCCCTGTGGTGCTTTAAAATGCACTCATTAATATAGTCTAATTTACATTTAATTCTAGGAGAGATATGCCCTGTTGCCACTGCTCACCCCAGCAAACCCCCAACTGCCTAGCAAGCTATGTGAGGCAGAGTGAGGTTTCATCATCTCAGAAGTCCTACTCAAAAGACAGTTCATTGCAAAACACAGTCTCCCCTCTGCAAGATGCTGCAGGGCCAGCTGCAGTGATGAGAATCCTGAGGTTGTGGAAGATTTGGGCTGACAGGTAGCTGGGGGAGAGGTGCTGGCAAGCCTAAAGATGGCACAGAGGTTGAAGCAGAGATTGAATCAGAAAAATAAATGTGGCAGATCTGAAGCAAGCTTCCCATGATTTATATTGAAGGTGTCTCTCATTGTGAAGCATCCAGCCGCTCTTCATGTGCATGCCACACTCCTTCCTTGCATGCTCTGTTTAGCAATGAAGTCACTGACCTTTTTGTTGTCCTCATGATGCTTGCAAGGAATGAGCATAGGTTGTTTTCATCTCCCAAAATGTTGGCAGTCTTCTCAATATTAACTATTTGGGGTTCATATAATTTCTGTAAGTCCACCTCTGGAGTCAAGGAATCGATGAAAGGGAATAAAAGGTATCAGTAGTTGCAACTGCAAGGTTATTCTGAAACAAAATGAACAGAAGATCCAGCACAGGAGAGAGACCCAAAAGGGAAATGTCCTTCCTAAGGGCATACACAGCCTTCCCTATGAAAGTGCATAGTGGTTTTCTGACACCTAATGATTTATTCTTCAGAGTTTACACCATCTTGGAATTCTCTGTGGTCTAATGCTTCAACTCCTGAAAACACAGTCCATAAGATTAGTTTCAGGAGTTCCCAGTTCCGGCTTTTTTTTTTTTTTTCTTTTCTCTCCTGATTTCTAGCTTTGGATTTGTCTATGGGGAGGCATCAACGAACAGAGGATGGATTTCTCAGCTATTTTAAAGGAGACATTATGGAGACAAACATCTATGATTAAAATAGATTATCTCTTTGAACTGAGAAAGAATGAAAGAATACAGGATAACAGTAAAAAAAAAAAAAAAAAAGCTTTAAACATGCTACAGAGCTGCAATGCAAAGGTTAAAAAGATACACATTTCCATTGTGTAAGCTAGAGCTAGAAAAAAAAAAAAAAAAGTCGGAAAATATATGTCCCCAGCAGAAATCCAATTTTGGTTTTATCATTGCTTTTCCACCAGGAGGTGGGGCTGTTAAGCACTGAATTTATTTAGTGCTGCACTAAAAAAGTGTAGGTAAAATGAGAACTGTCTTTCTCTTCCCTTTCCCTCTGAAACTCATTATGTACATGTGAGTAAAAAGCATGAACTTTCTAGATATTTTAAGAACCGATTTCATTTTCTCATGGAAAAAAAAAAAAAAAAAAAAGGAAATACCTTTAGAATGATTTTGCAATGGTTTAAATGAACTGCCTCCAGTAGTGAATTAAGTACCAATAGCTAATTAAAACATACATTAATTTGGGAGACTGGAAAGCTCAGGAGGCTTATAATTATTACTATTCCCAAGTTTCTATTGAGTCTATTGCTAGGAGAGCTCTGCAATTCAGTTGTAAGGATTAAGTCACAAAAAGAAATCACAGGACCCTGTAATGTGGCTAATTGCATAATAAAAAGATAAACACATTTAAGGTCATTTGATTCTAATTCTGACAAGCTGCCAAGAGGGATGAAAGCAGTGTTTCTGCTGCTTTCTCAGAGCCTGAACTGAGGGAACTGCTTATTTCTGATGCTTCCACAGCTCCTCATTTCACCACCTTCAAAGGAGATGTTCTAGACCCCTTGAGACGGGAAGGTGCAGCCAAAGGAAGGAAATGTGTGTCATATGTGAAGCTGAACTCTACCGCAACAGCTCTCTGACTCCATCCCTGCCCTCCCACCCCCCCCCAAAGGGAAATGAGGAGAGGAAGGGAAATGTGATGGAATGAAGGGCTCAAGGGTTGAGATAAGGACAGGGAGACCACTCAACACATATAATCACAGGAAAAAAAGATTCAACATGGGGAGATTAATATAATTTATTGCCTATCACTAGTAGGCTAGAGCACTGAGAAACTACAAGTAAGCTGAAAACACCTTCCCCCATCTGCCCTCTTCCACTTCCTCCCCCCAAGAGTGGCACAGGTGACTGGGGAATGGGGGCTGTGGTCAGTCCCTGATGCTTTGTCTCCACCACTCCCTCACAGTCCCTCTCTACCCCTGCTCCCTGTGGGGTCCCTCCCATGGGATGCCATCCTTCCTGAAATGAGCCTGTGGGGGCTACCCACAGGCAGCAGCTCTTCAGGAACTGCTCCCACACGGCTCTGTCCCAAGGGGTCCATCCCCCAGGAGCAAACTGGTCTAGCACAGGTCCCCCAGTGGTGGGCGGCAGCTTCCCCCAGACCCCCTGCTCCTGCGTGGGCTCCTCTCCACAGGCTGGCAGCTCCGGCCCGGGGCCTGCTCCTGTCGGGGGCTCTCCATGGGCCACAGCCTCCTCCAGGCCACATCCACCTGCTTCCACAGAGGGACTCCTCCACAGGGGGGCTGCAGCGTGGAGATCTGCTCCATGTGGGACCCGTGGGCTGCAGGGGAACAGCCTGCTCCACCAGGGACCCCTCCATAGGCTGCATGGGAACCTGCTAGCAGTGTGCCTGGAGCACCTCCTGCTGCACTCACCTCTCTGAGTTGCTGTGGCACAGTTATTTTTTCCCCCCTTTCTTAAATCTGCTTTCACAGAGGCACAACCAATGTCACTCACTGGTTTGGCCCTGGCCAGCGGCAGGTCCCTTTTAGAGCCAGTTGGAGCTGACTCTTCTCTGATATGGGGCAGCTGCTGGGTTCTGCTCAAAGAGGCCACACCTGCAGCCTTTCTGCTACCAAATGTTGCCAAAATAAAGCATGGCACAGAAATAGGTGCAAACCTGAACCCTCTTATGACCTAACAGTTGAACCAGGGTGCCTCAATGCAGGCCCATTTTTCTCTCTTCAGTGTCAGAATTGTTGGAGATCCACTCTTCTATTTCATAGAATACATGTGATGGGCATGTAATTACTGGGCACAAACCTGAATCTGGAAGCATTTTAGGGGAATCTTGTCACCATCATGCTATGTAGCAAGGTCTCACCTCAAACAGCAACAAATATGTATGGTTATCACACTGTGTTGATCTGCATCTACACTTGCAGAGAAAGCATTTCTGATGGACATGATCAGAGATGGTCAGTCCACACAAATACTATCTGTACAGCATGACCATGCAATGGATATTAATAGATGTTCATTTAGGCATTCAAAGAGATCTTGACTGGCCATAGGGCTTACGTGGGTGCCATAAAACTTGCCACATCAGAGGTTATCCTAACCTGATCACATTCAAAGTCACGGTCAGGAGTTAACTAACTCAAAGAAGACCATCAAGACATCCACACTTACCAGAGAGGATACAGTCACCAGGCAAGGGAAGTCAAGAATTATTTCCAGCCACTGCTGCTATTGAGTTCAGGAGTAATGACTGATCATTGCATCCTGCGGCAGTCACAGCTTCTGCCAGCTCATCCAAATGCTTCCTCCCACTCACAACACAGCACTTCCCTCTCCTCCAAGATGACTCATGCTGTGTTCACTTCCATCCACAGCCCAGTGGCTGCTAGGCACTACCAATATAGCATAACTAAAATTTGGCTTTGGGTGTCATGGTGAGATCTAGATGTAACATATGGATGGCAATGAAGCCCCAAATGTTGGGTCTTCTATATGGTTTAATGTAGTTACAGAACAAGATGGACAATCTTGAAAAAGAGGCTTTTTTTTTTTCTTTTTTTTTCTTTTTTCCTGATAGTCGTTTTTTTATGCCCTGCCTGAAAACACCATCCAAACTTATCAGCCTCAAGAGTTTGAAGGCTACTAAGCATGTGTTTGTGATCAATAGTTTCAAAAATTATCAGTGGGTTTATTCGAATAAGAGTAGATAACTTGTTCCCATCCATTAGCTACAAGAGAGCTTTAGACAGGTAGCAAGAGTTTGATTTTTATATCTGTATAAAAAAAGACATGAATACATGGCCAGTTAAGACTTTCAGAAAGCCCAACAGAGGGATATACCAGGCAGATGAAGCAGTGATGCTGCTCAGTGATTTTGCTGCTTGCTTGACTGTTCAGCATCCAAGTTTCAAGTTCTGGGCTTACAATTCATAAAATTTATTCTTTAGTTGGCAAGGATTTCCTTTGCAATCTCAGATTTGTCACTCCACACCATTTCTAAATACATCATCTGTATCCAGATGCCATACATACTCATCTACCTAAATGTGTTAGAGGTCTAGAGTCACAGAGGTGCTTGAAAATATTTAATGCTAATATTTAGGAAACACTGACACTACAAAGTCTTGGTAGATCTCTGTTAGCTTCTGCTCCCTGGTGCCCAGGCATAAAATACAGTTTGAGTAGTAACAGCAATACAAGATCTGGACATACAGCTAGAAAGGGGGTTACTGGGGTTCCTTTCCCTGTTCTAGTGAATATCTGAATATGATATATAAAATAGATCAGATGTTAAAGGAGGAAGTGATAAGTTGAGAGCTTCTTAACTCAAAGTGCCCTCTGACACTTTCTGCACTTCCTCTGAGGGATGGAACATGAATTCAACTCCTCTCAGGTAGAGGATGCTTAGTGTAAATGCTCTAAACACTGGATCATTACTTAATAGATAAAATACCTTGCCTGTTTCCATACTCCATTTTCCAGTTGGATTTTGAAATGACTCAACCTTCATGGAGCTTTTTAAATAATAGTAGTTCTTTAGGGGTATATTTTGACCTTATTCCTTTGGCTGAAACCTACAGAAGACTTTAAAGTGCCGACGTCTCACTGACATGCAAGAATATCTTGGCAGACCTTGACAAGAAAAATGTAGAGCTATCATTTCAGAGATATTTGATTCCTATTGTAAAACGCTCACAGATGGACCAGTGAATTCATAAGCTATTTTGAGGAAGAGAGGTATTATTGTAGTGTAATATAGATGGTTTAGATGAGGAGTTTTACTGTGGATTCAGTGAAGCCAGAATTTCATCCTGCACCACTAAGTTAGATAACTTGTGTATAGCACATACTTAAATGACCATTGCAGGTTTCTGAGACCCTGATCTGAAGCAGGGCAAAATGATTGACCCAATAATTCCTTCATTATCACTAGAATTCCTTTATATCTCTTAATGATTTTCTATTTTCTCTCTTTGCTTTCTGCTTATGCTCAAGGCAAAAAAACAAAAACAAAAAAAAACAACAAAACATCCAATATTTCCAGAACCTATTTTAGTTTCCATACATTTTTTTTCTTTAGCTAGCAGCAAATTTCTAGTCTTAAAACTTTGCTTTACCACTGGCTGAAATTTCACACACACTTAATACTAAAATTTGTCAAACTGGAAACATTATAGCTGAATAATCAGGTAGTTTGAGGCTGCAACTTAATCTACAGTAAGCAGATTTATTCCAGTAGGAAATGTCTTATAGTATTTTTACTGCTAGTGTTCAATGCGTTCCTTTGTTGTTTAAAAGTTACTTGCAGCATAAGTAATTAACCACTATTTAAAACTACAAAAACTACAAAACTACAGTATTCAAAACTACAGTATAAAACTACAGTATTCTTTCTTGCGTACAGACATGGCTGAACTGATTGCGAAATCCTTGGGACAAAACTGCTATTTCTTCTGTCTTACACATGACTGAGCACATTAACGCGTAAAAGCGATAGTACAGTGAATCTTATTTAGGCAAAAGAGGGTGTATGAGTAAGATAAAAACAAGTATTTGCATCTTGATTCTGATTTGAATTCATCTTTGTTTGTGTTGTAAAAAAGAAAAAAAAGAAAGAAAGAAAAAAAAAGGGAAAAAAGAAAGAAAGAAGAAAACATGAATTTTCATCTCTGGAACCCTCATGTAACATCTCTGAGTCTGATCATTTTCTGTGTCCAATAAAAAAGAAATCTTGGTTTTATAAAAATCTCAGAAGATGAGAAGGGATTACAGGGATTAATCCCACAGTACAACTTTTGTACTTTATTTATTTTATTGCTGTTGATTTGTAAATCTATATTGTATGCTAAGATTTATGATCTTCATTCATCACCAAGTTCAGTCTCATCAGTGAGAGGTTATGATACTGTAAATTCTAGCACCTTTGTCTCACTAATAAAATATGACAGTATACATCTATAAATTCCCAATTCTGATGGTTATGTTGTGTTTCCTGCAAGGGTCTTTCAAGCACTGACATTTTCAAACAGACGTCATGAATTAGGGGAGCACGATTTGATTAGGATGCTGTGGTCTTCCTTGTGCCAAAAAGCATGGATCTCTTTCAAGCAAAGTCTGTCCTTAGCATGTAGTTGACAGTAATGTCAATGCTCATAAAAAAGCAAGCAAACAGCCCAGCTATGATGAGTTATGCTGTCTACAGAAAGCAGTAATAGAAAGGTGACAACCTTAGCCAAAGAAAACTGAAGGACAAAAAGGACAGCAGAGTTATTTTAAACATTCTAACAGGGTACCAGTAACGAAGAAAAAGTGATGGACACTATAAAAGTAACAGAAAGTGTTCTTGTGACCAGAGCTGTTTGCTTTTCTACTGCCAGACTGTATATACAGGACTATACACTTTTATGATGATATTTTTTTTTATTTCAGAAGTAATAGTTCCCAGTATGGAAACAGCACAACATGCCAAAAGCTGACATAAGGCACACTCAGATCTGGACCCCAGTTTCTTAGCTTTCAAGTGGGCTTACACTTGAGATTTCATTTGGAGCTCCTCTGTAAAGGCAACACGTCTCTGCTCATATTATTAATCTATTTCTTTGTCTTCCCTGTAGTAGGGGATACTTTGATTAATAGCTTCTTCTGTACTGCAATAGTTTGGAGGTGCTTCTGTCACACAGGGAGACATAAAAACTACAGAACCCATAGCGGTGAACTATAAATCCCCAACAAAATTAATGTAAATTCTCCCTTTAGCTTGAATGATTTCATTAATTATTTTGAAATCCAGCTAAACATGGGTAGCACCTTCTTCATCTTTAATGTCTCAGGATTTTCTCATCGCTGGAATCTCTTTTGTTTCTTGCAAATCATAGTTAAGAATATCTCCCTACTGGGAGGCAGGAAAAAATTTGGCTTGTTTAACTATGAAAAGTCCATCTCAGAATCTTTCCTGATCTGAAACACTTATTGAAAAAGGGCTTGCTTATTTCTGTGAAGAAGAAATGAAAAATGGCTTTTTTACAGTTGTTGCATAGTTGTTACATGTGTCTGCTTTGGTATCAGCAGACTTGTCTTGTTCTAGATATAGGTCTCTCTATAGAACAGGTCTATAGTTTTATACAGCTATATATATATATATATGTTCTTGATAGCCTTGTTCTATTTATAGAGGAGGAATCAATGTTCAATGGACAATGGGCATGAAGTTCATATGTTGCAAATGTTATTAGAACATGATTCAAATAACATTATAGATGGTTATATGGTGTTGGCTGTATGTGTACATCTGCCCTTAACTTCCACAGGTCATAACAGTTTAGGAAGATCTTTGTTCACTGTTTAGCCTTTCCAAATGTATCTGTAGCTGTAGAAAATAAAACTTTTAGTTCACCTACTGTTATATTCTGCCTCATTTATGCTGGTGTAACTGAGGAACCATGCCGTTCCCTTCTTCAGAATGTTATTAGATTTACAGAAATAAAAACAAGAATTTGGTCTTAGATGGGATTGGATACAGATCATGCTTATTATTGTGAATAGATAAAAGCTGCTTTTGGTTTAGATTTTCTCAATTAAGCAAACGTGAAGAAATCC